TGTTATATTAATATATTTGTCACTGTTATTACCTGGCAAATGTGACATTTTGATCTCATTCTTCTTCTTCTTCTTTTTCTTATTATTATTATCACTACTATTATAATTATTACTACTCTTACTAGCTACTACTACTATTTTGAACATTGTTATCTACTCATGGTGTCTTTACCAGTGACCTAGTGATATATAAAATGCAGTTAAGTCAACTGCAAGCCTAAGTTAGCTCCGATGTGAACACGTCCTTACCTGAACATGGGAGCTAAAAACACACAGATATCTCTGATGTGAATAGGGATATTCAGGAGATTGAGCAGCCAGTGGATTGTACCAGAGGTGACCATGAGGCCTGGGTACACCTGAAACCAAAATTAATTAAGGTTCATTATTTTTATGAAAATGTATAAATTACGGGAGCAGAGTTGAAAGTTAAACCCCGAAGTTGTTGATATTCTTTAACCTGTGCTGACCGTCTCCACTCCAGACTAAGTATCTTTTGATCATTACTACTAGTATGTGTATAATATACTTAATTATTTTTATGAAATTCAAAATTTAAAGGGTGAGATACACCATTAATTTTCATTGTAATGCAGTTGCAATATATGAATCAAGTCATGTGTGCCCTGACACTTGCTTCATATGGTTTGTTATAAAAAATTGTATGGCCCACGTTTCACATACGTAGATGTAAAAACACATTTCAAATGTCATATATAGAAATGAGATTCACACTTTGAGCTAGACTCATGCTGGTTTTTTCTCCATATGCCTAGTAAGCAAAGAGTAAATTAAGAAATTTTTAAGGAGATTTTTTTCAATATTTTTTCATAATCTAAAACAGTGTATCAGATATCATTATTCTGAAAAAAGACTAAATTAGCAAAGTGGCAACAACAGTATCTCATCTTCATACATATTCCTTTTAAAAAGATAATATGCCATCCATAACTTACAGTTCCACCAACAATCCTGCCCAGTGGATACCAAGCCGTGTCATCAAACCAGTTGAGAAAGTTGTAGAAGCCATGGGTGACCATGTAGTGTGTGGCTCGGTAGTTAAACCTATGAGCACAACAAAAATATGACAATTACTAGCACCCCATATATTGGAGCAACATGTATTTACGGCCCTCCCCCCCCTTAACACCACCACTACTACAACCAACACAAAGTACACAGAGCATCTAAATATACAAGTGCTGATTGAAATATAAAGTAATTAAAAGTAATGCTACTTCATATCAGAAAGTGTATGGAAGTGAATTTTTGAAAATGATAAATCTTTAAAAAGTAAATTCTAAATAAAGCAATTAAAAAAATAAAATCATATTTTTTAATTCAATAAATTGAAAAAAAAATGATTGACATGATTAATAACAGCAGTTTAAAGAAGTCAGAATTTCCCCACCCCTACTCCCCATACATCAGCACTAGCAAGTCAACATCCAATGTAAAAAATTATATTCATCTGGAGCATTTGCCCACATACTGATGACATAAAAATATTATCATGATAATTGAAGCGAGCACATAATGCATTACCTTAATGCTACAATTTTGCTGGTACCTGCATAACAATATATAGCCAAATTGAATGTATTTATTTTATTTGAAGTTGACAGAAATCCAGGATTTTAAGATTTAGCATAATATTAATGTATAATAGAATTTACAGGGATTATAAAAATAAAAAAAGAAGATTGCCTTTTTTAATAAGTTTTTAATTCCATGCATTTTTTTTTAATTCATTTTTGGCCTCGGGTGTTAGAATATTATAAAATAACTGTATGTTTATCAGGATGCAGACACCAATCAGACAATACTAGTGTCTTCTTTTTTTCTGGTTTACAATAGCTTTAAAGACTGATTAAGTCCAAAATTACCCTCCAGCTAAAAAGGCCTTGCTCTTTCTTTTAGAATTTCATTGATTATACACTATCATACAAGCACAATTTGCTTTTACTTCAGTGACATCTTATTTTTTGACTCAAGCCTAAGTACTGGACACATATAAAAGTGATTTCAAGTAGAAGTAGTGTCCTATAGACATATATCTAGGACTTTTCTGCTCCTTCAAGGTTCTAACCATGGACTTAGATAACTAAAAAAAAAAAAAATAGGGGATAAGGGCTTTTTTTAGCTGGGGGTATTTTAGGGCTTGAAAAGTTTTTAAGCACTAACCAGAGAGAAAAAGTGACTATTATTGTCTGGAGAAGACCTCACCAAAAGATATAAATTTATGTTTTGGTAGAAGCAATTACTAAACTTTTTGAATGATTGAATATTGTGCAGAGTAAGTAGAAACACGAGAGGAAAGAGGAGGCATGTGCGCCAAGTGCAATCACTCTGGTGAAATGATTGTCTCAGTTATCGGGCAAATATGCAGTCACAGGTAAGGCTTTCCTTCCATCCCATGTTGACGTCCATTTAATTACTATTTAGCCCTGAACATGTGACACCAAGAAAACACTTTCACAATGGCATTTACTCTGTCATCTTATAAAAAATCAAAACTGTTATATACGCTGAGTCCCCAGTCGACCTGACTTCAACTTTAGTACAAATGGTGTGTGCAATTCATTGTAACAATGCATTGGGGAAGTTGTTGTCGTAGGCCCTAGTGGAAATCGAAATGCATTGTACCCCCAAACAATGACTTACCATGGATCAAACTCGTGGATGATGCTCTCGAAACGAATTACGGCAAAAAGCCTGGAGCTAAACCCTGCAAGGCATGCTAGAGATAAAATAAAAAAAGTCAGTAAACTGGTCCAACCACTCGGGTTTGTTAGCAGGTTCTTCACCTCAGGTTTCACGCCGGCATCCGCCATCTTGCTTGCCCACGTTGCGTGGACCAATCAAATCTCTCTAAATTGGAGCGTGTGAAACAGGCTGCTGGATTCATGTGGTCCTGTTTGATTCGTGCACGAGCAGCGATCTTATGTTGGTCTTTATAATTAATGCTCATTTGGGTCTTTATATAGTTTCTGAACAAAAAATGTTATGTTCTTCACTATTCTCTTGGCAATAGATATATTTTCTTACAAATCAACCAGTAAGAAACTTAATATTATAGAAATTGGTTCTTCTTTTAGTGCATTAAATTAACGTACGTACTGTACGTATTAAGCACTGGTAACACTGCCAAAATGAACACTCAAGCTTCAGTGATACTTAGATGAAGTTCTTGATCATTTCTTTGTCAAAGTAACATAAAATTATAGGGATTTCAAAAAGGGGTTAGGCATTAATAATGTACGTGTATATTTTAATTCGTAGGCCCAACCGTCTCTCTCACGCGCACCCGGGTAGGCCTACCTTGATCTACCAGTAGGCTATTATTACTGTTGTTTGTTTGTTTGTATATTAAAGGGCACTTGTTAAATTCATATTATTTACGTTTGTGAAATATGGCAATTAATATTATATTCCAATACAACTGATACAATCGGTGGGATTACCTCGTGGGTATTTACACAATGCTGCTCTCACACCTAACACAATTTTAGCCTTCCACCTCCTTGTCTCCCTACACCGAGGAGGAGAGAGGGGCACCTGTCAGTAGAACTGTCGCTGCTAACAATATACTGTATAGCTGAACTAGCAGCTAGTAACATGGATTTGATCTAAAGCCGTAATCGCCTCGTACAAACACACATTACCACTGATCTTCATTAACTGCACCCCCTCCCCCTCCCCCCTCATCCCCCCCCCTCACCCCCATTTTACAGAAAAATCACAATTTGGGTACCTGCCTGGTATTGACACCCTGGGTTACTTAAAGGTACATAGAAACTCTTGTTACTTCTCTCAACATGCAGTAATATTGGAAACGACTGACAGCTGAGTAGCAGGTTCCCAGGGACCTCTGAACCTCAGGGTACCGGGATTCTCATCACGTTATAAATACGACAGCGTGTTCCTGACTTGTAATTAAGACTGTCTGAGGAATGGGATTTTGAAATATAGACCTGTACGACTAACGTTAAGCAGGTGAAGTGCTCTTTTTAAAATTCACCTCAAACTAAGTTAAAGCAAAGTATACAGAGCAAAAAAAAAGGTAAATAAGAATTAAAGAATCTAAAATATCCCAATTAACTCCATTATCTGGAACCGCTCTAGGGCTCTCATTACAGTCCGAAAATAGCATCAACAGTGTCCACTTCTTATACAATGTGAGGGGCTGTTAGTTTTGTTTATGGCTTACTTTGCAACACGTAAAGTATAAACTGTGACCTTTTTAAAGCGCACAAAAAGAGATAGGGCCTACCTGTTGAGGAAGGGTTGTGTCACATTTTTTAGATTTCTTAATGCCCCTTAAACTGTTTGTCATTTTGCATGACAGAAAAGAGGCGCTTTGTCTAGGCTGATTCCCCAAGGTGTACTTCACTTAGTCACAAAACGGTAAACAATCCGAAAATCTGAAGATCAGAGATAAGCTATGTAGACTCTTTAAAAAATAAATTCACCCAAATGACGTTATTAGCCCTCTCTCTCTCTCTCTCTCTCTCTCTCTCTCTCTCTCAGGCACACACATAAACAAAAACACACACACACGAACCTTTTTCAACTTTTTAATTTCACTTTTGTCGCAAACTGTCATGCTCGACTTTTCAGACTTTTAAACAAGAGAAATGAAAAATATAGAATTTAGGCTAGTTCTATAAGCATAATTTTTGACTGAAATCACTCTAACTGGCCCCTGTATAAACATGTTAACCTAACATGCATGAAAAGGCATCAGACACTCGGTCAGGTAGCGTGATCCAATCCATTTTTGGTACGTGAAATTTTACTGCTGCGGCATTAATCAGAGAATGTAGGGAATATTTTAAACGTTTTAAACAACATGAAAAATAATCAGTCACTTATTCATGTAGCGTGATCCGACACATCAGTATACGAAACTATACAGGTGCAGAGTTCATCAGAGAATGTAGGGCAAATCTGCTAACTTGGCGACTAAGACCCAATCTGGCAACACATTTTATTACGTGATGGCTTCTGCAGAGTTCTATGATGTCAGCAGTGATAATTTTCCGACATGTCACGTTTGCGGTAACGAGTTTGCCGACCCGCGCGTCCTCCCATGTTACCACACTTTCTGTCTGGGTTGCATTGCCCAGCAGGTGGCAGCGGATGGGACGGGAGAGGACCGCATCAAGTGTCCAGTATGCGACCACGGGACCTCCGTTCCAGCAGGTGGACTGGAAAAACTTGACCGGAACTCCTTCTTGACCAAGGCGAAGGACTTGGTGTTGACAAAAGCGAGTGAAGGTGAAACGTGCGGAAATTGTGAGTCGCAAATTGCTGAGTCTTATTGCCAAGATTGCAGGTACTTCTTTTGCCAAAACTGCCGAGACAAACAGCATAACTGCATGAAGATTCTAGGTGGACACAGACTAATCCTCGTGTCGGAATTGACCAGATCTCACACTCACCAAGGGTCACTCATCAAGCAGCTTAAAGCGTTCGTGGACGCGACCCTGCTATGCGAAAACCACGATGGAGAGAAGCTGGCATTTTACTGTAAAGATGACGACAGTGTTGTATGTCGGGAATGCATTGTCACAAAACACAAACTTCACGACTGTGTGGATATTGCAGATGAATCACTCGCACAGAAGGAGATGTTAGAAGAAGCCATTAAAGTTCTGCTTCAGAATGTGCATACATTTGAAAATGCCGAGGAAGCACTAAACACACTGCAGAAAGATACAGAAGATAACAAAAGCAATGTCATGTCGATCATGAAACAACAAGTTTTAGAAACTAAAAGAGAGCTGGACACCACTTATGATGAATTAACAAGAAAGGCAGAGGCCCATGCCACAACTCAAATCGAGATCCTTCAGTCTGAAAAAGATCGCATTCACCTGCAGAAGGTAGCCATTGACAGCGTGTGTGGGTTTGCCAAGCAGCTTATCCAACATGGAACCGACACAGAGGTGATGGCACATGCTAAGAACATACAGGTCAGAATGACAGAGATGAAGAATCTTACTCCCAGCCCACCAACCGAAACCGCTGAGCTGATTTTCATCAAAGGAACTCTTCCAGTCTTAGGAACTCTGAAAGAGATCCAGCCGGCTCCCCAGATGTCACCATGTGCACCATGTGAGCAAGTTTGCTCTGAAGCAAGAGAACAAGTAAAATCAGTTAAGTGGCTGCAGACTGCGTGTTTGGTAGGCAGATTCACTTGCAAGTTGTCAAGTTTGTGGAACATCACATGCTGTCACAGCGGGGATGTTTATTTGGTTTCTGGCCTTCGCGGTAAACTCGAGGCAACATCGTCATCTGGCGAGGCGTTATTTCATGTTCATATCCCCGACCCCAGGGGTGTCACTGTCCTCAATAACGACAGGCTGGTAGTCACATGTAAGGATGGATACCGGGTGTATACTACCTATGGTAAACTTAGCCACACATTTGGTCAGAGCGATATGTCCAAGCCATGGGGTGTTACAGTGGACAACCACGGTCACATACTTGTCTGTGATGTGGGAAACACCGATAAACACATTTGTGTGTACGACTCCGTCAAATATAGTCTGATGAAAAAGATCAGGCTTCTTGCCTGCAGAGACCCTTGTTACATTGCAGTTCTTCCAGCAAATGACGTCATTGTGGTGAGTGACTGTAACGAACACTGCGTATACGGGGTGACACCCCAGGGTCATGTTGTGTTTCAGTACGGGCACCCTGGGAATCAAGGCTCCGGGGACGGAGAGCTCTACCACCCCTATGGACTGTGCACGGATAACTTTGGACACATCTTCATTGCAGACCAGTGGAACCACAGGGTCGTCGCTTTGGACTCGGATGGTCAGTTTTTGAGACACGTGGTTAGTAAACCTCAAGTCGAGCGGCCAGTGGCTGTGGCGGTTGACCATAGAGGACATCTTCTGGTGGCGGAATATGGAGGACGGGTGAAAACGTTTAGTTATGTTTGTTGATTGAAGGAGAATCTTTGAAACATCTCATTGCAGAGTCGAACAATATACAAAAGGCTGAGAATAAAATGGCGGGGGGGGGGGGGGGGGGGGGGGGCAGAGTCGTTGAAGGCAATACTGTACATCAAGAAGTTTGATTTTTAGGAGTGTGGGATATACACTTTTCACTCAGGCTGAAGGATAAATAAAAGTGCAATTGATGGACTGGATCGACTTCAAAATTCCCACCCTCCCCTGCCCCTATACACCAGGTGCAGATTATTAAAAACAAACTCTATATCATCAATAAAGATTTTTGTGTTATCTTTAATTAAGAAGATATCGAGAAATCGCTTCGCCTAAATGAAATAGCAGTTTCATGGACTAGGGAATTGGGGGATTATAAAAAGACTTCTACGCCAGTGAACAAAATACATGTCATTTTGTGTACAAACCAATTATACCTACGACCTTGATAGGTGCATAATATAAATAAAATACTTCATCGCAACCTCCCGTCTTTTTCTTACTGATTCAGGTACTTAAAGGGATAACAACTCTGCGTATGAGAGCTATATTTCACAATAAATGCATTGTAAACAACTCGTCGAAATATAATTTATTCTATTTAACCACAAAAACGGCATTTATAGCAATAAATCTGAAATCTGTGCTTGCCATCCAACCACGTGACCTCCACAGATGGCTTTACTTTGTAATAATCTCTTAAGGGATTATTACAAATAAATAAATAAATAATAAAAATTAGAAAAAAATTGAAAAAAAAAAAACGGGGACTAACTTTGAATGTAGAAATGGATTCATTAACCTTTGGTAAGTATGGAAAAATTGCTGTTTACCCCAGGAAAGTTTTTATCCCTTTAATGTGAACCAAAAAAGAAAATGCTTGCATTATAAAGGTATCCATTTGAAACACTGTATTTTGAAAACATTGATCTTTTTATAATCAAACAAACGTTAATTACACTTTAACCTTCAATTGTGCACAACAGTTGATTTTATTTCTATTTCAAAATAAGAATAAGAATCCCATTACATTTACATTGAATATAACATGCCTCAGTGGTCGAAGAACACTTCAAGAGTTTTATTATCCGAACAGCCTGAAAGAGGCAAAAACACTTACGAAGAATAATTAACCATTGCAATCATTATGTGACTTGTTTTGACTTATATATATATAAAGTATCTGATCTTGGTTGAATAAAAAAATTATACAAGTATATATATATACACACAGTAGATTCATATATGTATAAAGAGAAAAGAGAGCCTTTTTCTCTCTTTCTCTCTCTACACACATACACACACACATTATACATGACACAGATGTTAACAATCTGGTGTCTCATATCAGTCAAGAGGGTAGGAGATGTCAGTGTTTGGGCAAAGAACATTCTCCCCAGTTGAGTTCATTTTTCACATAAACACTTACAACTGGAATTTACCACCAGGTACTCTCTCAAAGCCCTAGATTATCACTCAACGAGTGACTTATTGAGCGTAAAGTATTTCTTATTCCTTGTAATGGGTTCCATCGCATGGTGACATGTACACTGCTCTGCATTGAATCTCCTTCAGCCCCGCCCCCCTCCTGCAGCTCTCCACTCCCACCCTGATCCCTCTTCTCCTCCTCCTCCGCCTTAGCAGTCCATTCTTCTGGAAAAGGTGGCGGGCTCTTCACTACAATCATGTCAATACTTCCAGGGTTTGATGGGGGTTCTGTTTGTGAGAGTTCACCTAACAGCTGCCCCATGTCTCTTGGTGCTGAGGCCTCACGTGTGTTGAAGTCAGAGCTGTCTTTGTCTGCCTGCAGGTTCAAAGACATGGGAATGTGTCCTGGTGTGATAGTCTGTTCTGGCAAAGAAGGTCCATTTTCTGCATTCTCATTACCAGCAGCAGCCTCGAGTGTGTTCTGTGGATGATTGCTTCCCAATTGTGCCTCTGGGTCACCTCTAACGCAATCGGTTGGCCTTGGCTCTTTTTCTGAAACATCCTTGCCTGGGACTTGCCCTTGATTGTCAGACTGTCCACTGGCAAGCCTGTTTTCTACATCGCCCAAGGAGTAGGTAGGGGGTGCCTCCATTGTGGGAAGTGACGCATCTCTCACACTAACAGGTGATTGAGCAGAGCAAGATAAACTTGGCACAGGTTCAAGGTCGTTGCTGAGATGGATAAGGCTAGGATGTACAGGCTGGTAGCTGTCTGTGTATCCCTCACCTACCAAAATCAGAGGTAATAATAATAAAAAAGTTCAATTCATGGTGACAAGTAGGTCAAAGGTCAATTTAAAGGTCACAGTTAGATAGCCAGTATATGAAGTTCAGTTCATGGTGAAAATTAGGTCAAAGGTCAATTTAAAGGTCACAGTTAGATAGCCAGTATATGACTTCCTATTCAAGTTCAATAAAAACTATGTGCATATCTTTGTCAGTTTTGGAGATATAAAGATAACAAAATTTATTAAGTGCAGTTTATCATGAAAAAAAGTCCAAAGGTCAATTTCAAGGTCACAGTAAAATTACCAGTACATGACTTCCTATTCAATTTCAAAAGTAACTATGGACCCATCTCTCCCAGTTTTGGAGTAAAAAGGGAAAGAAATTTGCAAAGTGCAGTTCATAATAAAAAGTAGGTTAAAGGTCAATTTCAAGGTCACAGTTAGATAGCTTAAGCGACTTCCTATTCAATTTAAATAGTAACTATGGGCATATATCTGCCAGTTTTGAAATTATAAGCATTAAAAAAGTTGCAAAGTTCAGTTTATGGTGAAAAGTAGGTCAAAAGTCAATTTTGAGGTCACAGTTAGATTGCCAGTATATGACTTCCTATTCAAATTCAAAAGTAACTATGGGCGTATCTCTGCCAGTTTTGGAGATAAAAGGGAAAGAAAATTTGCAAAGTTCAGTTCATGGTGAAAAGTAGGTCAAAGGTCAATTTTAAGGTTACACTTAGATTGCCAGCATATGACTTCCTATGACTTCCTATTCAAGTTCAATAGTAACTATGGACTATCTCTGCCAGTTTTGGAGATAAAAGGGAACAAAAATAAGTTCAGTTCATGGTGAAAAGTAGGTCAAGGGTCAATTTCAAGGTCACAGTTAAATTGCCTCTAATGACTTCCTTTTCAAATTCAATAGTAACTATGGGCTTATCTTTGCCAGTTTTGAAAGTAAAAGCATTAAAAAAGTTGCAAAGTTCAGTTTATGGTGAAAAGTAGGTCAAAGGTCAATTTTAAGGTCACAGTTAGATTGCCAGCATATGACTTCCTATTCAACTTCAATAGTAACTATGTGCCTATCTCTGCCAATTTTGGAGATATAAGGGACTAAATGTTACAATTTTGGAGTTACAATAATGTGCTATAAATTTCCTACAAAAGAAATTAATTGAAAAGGTCATTTTGGTTAAAATTCTTGAAATGTTCAAATTTCATGAAATAATGTCATTCTTGACCAGAAGTTGTCTGCCTTGCCAAGCCTTATGTTTTATTTTCCAGAGGTTCAAAATTTATTACACATTACCGTATTGCACATTTTGCTTTCACCACCACAATGTACTTTTTGATACAGCATAACTCATAAACCGTATGGAAATAAAAAAACGGAGACCACTTTCACTGTTGGGCTTGACATGCTCTACAAAATGCAAAAAAGAACAGGTCTCTAGCACCAACGGTTCCCGAATTAGAGACAGTTTTCAGTTTCGGTCACTTATGGCTACTCCCCTGAAAATGCACAGATTGACCCCAAACTCACGGAGATGAAAGATGACCTGAAGGGTACCACCTGCCAATAATATTATAGGTTAGGTCTGAGTAGTTTCTGAATATTAGTGTGAATAATTTTTTTTTTTGTAAAAAAAAATTATTTTTTTGAAAATTTTGGCCCATTTGACCTTGAAAAAAAGGTCAAAGGTCAAATCCAAGGGCATATTTGAAATCTCCACATATGACTTTCGGTCAGTCTACAGAAATTTTTCCCATAATTCCTTTGGTATGGTAGATATAATTAGCATTTAATTTTGCCAATTTTGGACAAGGGTGCATTGCAATGAGCGCCACATCTAGACCCCTGAACCGATGAAGCCCTCCTTGTAGTCTAGGAGGAGAAGCGGTAACGGTAACATGGCGGCGGAGTCGGCGGAACGGACCGAACAGGACTAAAACCATGTGTACCGCCAGTTCCAACGCTGGTGGTACAATAATAGGACAATTATATATATAGCATTTCACATTTCTTTCCAACTATGCCTCTTGGTTACCTCTAATGCAATGGGTTGGCCTTGGCTCATCTTCTGAAACATCGTTGCCTGGGACTTGCCCTTGATTGTCACTATCATTCCCCAGATTGTCAGATTGTGCACTTATCTGTGCACTGGCAAGCTCATTTTCTACATTGCCCAAGGAGTAGGTAGGGGGTGCCTCCAATGTCTGAAGGGACACATCTCTCACACTAAGAGGTGATTGAGCAGAGGAAGACAAACTGGGAGCAGGTTCAAGGTCGTTGCTGAGATGGATAAGGCTAGGATGTACAGGCTGGTAGCTGGCTGTGTACCCCTCACCTACCAAAATCAGAGGTAATAATAATAATATTTATTTATTTATTTATTTATTTTATTTGGTGTCCACTATTAAGTAAAAATGTTTTATCTCTTACATAACATCTGTTATTAAAAGTAATACTTTACCATAATTTGGTAAAAGTGTCATAAATAGCATCGTTGTTCTTATTATTATTCTTATGCATAGGCAAAATCTGCCTCCAACTCGACATAAAATTATAAGACAGCATTTCACATAAGTGTTTTATACACTCTGTATGAGTCAGATTTCACATGGATTGGTTTGATCTGTAAACCCGAAATGTTCATCTTACATTAAAACAATAGTTTATATCCCCCAAAATTTTCTGTAATCTAAGGGAGTATTCAGAATAAACTTATCATACCAGCAAAATCGATCCATCTCTGCTGGGACTCTCACTAAAGTCCAATTAATTTAA